AGGATCCTCACATTTCAAATGAATAGAAGTTCCAGAAGCATTACAGATTTCATATCCATTCTACCCTACATGGTTCCAACTCAGAACTCATTCAACCTAAAAAAATCATGGCAACTTGGCACCTGCAGAAAAAAAAAATTAGTGAACTACTGTCTGATTTGAGCACAGGGGATTCCTTATCACCTTACAACAGCAGAAACTTCTCAGATAAAGAAAAAAAACTGATTTGTTCATGGAGAAAATATTTTATGAGGTCTGGTGACAGTTATAGAAAAAAAACACATCCAAAGTGTTCATCAGGCCATTCTAATGACACTGAAGCACAATTACTAGTAAAAGCTTCCATTTTAGTGAATTCAGTTTCTAGCACCCAAGACTGCTCAAGTATGAGCAAACCAGGTGCAATGATGTTTTCCTGAACCTCAGTTCACAGCTTTCCCAATTACCAAGAAGTCATTTAGCAGCTTACAAACTGCTAAGCATCCCAAGACCACTAAAAGGAAACAAACACCACAGCTACTTGCTGCCTCAGGAGGGACCCAGTATGGCACACAACTGTTACTCTTCCCTTTTCTCTTTTATATCACAAAATATCACAAAAATCACATAGCAGACTCCAGAACAAATATCAACTTCTTTTTGGAAATGATGCAACTAAATTTTTGCTATCAACGTACTGTTTCCACTTGAAAACTATTTGGGACTCAAGTTACAAATTTTAACTGTTACTGCACATATCTGCTCTTGCAGATACTCATATTCTGCAACTACAGTCGAGTTCAATTTATTTGCAGCTCTATCTGTGTTTACCTTCTACGCAGATAAACCTCTGCCTTTTGATACATGGAAGAGGAACATCTTGTGGTAGAAATACCACCAACTCTTTTCTTGCCAGGAGGAAACCATGTTTACCAAAGTGTTACCCTCAATACCACAGAGAAGCAATTTCACTCCATAATAGCATTCGACTTAGAAAGCTCCTAACATGCTAAAGATATTGGATGGTCAACTTCACCTTGAATCCTCCACCGCCAGCACATCATCATTCCTTAAAGCACAACATGTGATACTATATTAAAATAAGAAAAAATATTTACACGTTAAAGTGCCTGATGAACTACAACCACTTGCCAGCACCAGTCCATGAATGAACACAATGCTTTTTCAGCACTCATTGCTAAATGCCAGATCCTTCCCCTCATAAGATAGCTGCTTACAAACAGAGAACATAAGAATCTGGCTAGCATTCCAGTAACCCTATTCTGAAATAATACCAGCTAACCCTCACCAAAGCCTCCTCCCCGTTATCAAGAAGAAAGATAAACATCAGGCTATTATTTTCCCTCCACCAATTGTTGGTTTCTCCATCAAGCTGCAGCCTCACACTTTCATTTAGGATATGTTTCCCTACTTTGGATTTTAATTTAGACTAATCTATGAAACTAACAAGATAAATTAGTGAAATGACAAAAGAAAAAAGAGAGCAACTGATGCTTTGCCTAGACTATGATTCAAAACACTGCATGAGTTAATTACTGTTTACTACTTTAAGTTTTAATACAGGCACAATACAGTACCCTCTAACATGTACTCCACTAGTGAAGTTATTACCTAGACTAGCAGCTTCACTTTTGTTGCATATGCAGGACATCATCAATCTGAGAATTTTAAAAACTTTTTCTACAGGACAGCAAAAAGCCTCCTACTGTGGAGAGAGCTCTCAACAAGAAAATTGTTGTCAGTCTCACATACCTTATTCATAAACTCAAAAGATGTAAAGCTGCAAGGATCTCTACATTATCCCATTCCTAAAGATAACATGCAAGACCTTACAAAAAAAGCCAGAAATGGCTTAAAAAAAAAAAAAAAAGCAAAAAGGCTGAAGTGTGAGAAGATTTTAAAATGCTCTGTCAACCCCTCCTACCACATCAAAAATCCCTCAGCTCCTACCTGCAAGCCAGAGAGCAAGACAAGACTGAAAGCTGTTGTAGTGGTTTCCCAAAAATACTATTCAATGTCACACAAACAGAAAGCACTAAGTATATTTAGTCATACAAATATTAAACCTTACCTATAGCAAGAATAAGCACACTTTTCAGAATTACTTCTTCTGCAGTACTTAGAAGTGGAACCTGGTGCTTCCAGTTGCAGAAGTTAAATACCACCCAGCTTCTCCCCCTTAAACATTTCTGGTTCTACCACCTCACTTCAGTACCAAGATGAGTACTGGAAGATGAGAGCAAACCCCTTGTATTCTTTCCAAGAGTGCTCAAGTCTTCCCCAGGCGTCTGCACTCCTACTGCATCTGCAGAGAAACAGGGGCTGCTCTCCATGCTCAGGTGTAGCTCAAAGCACCAAATGAAGAATAATTAAAGTGCAAATAACATGACTCACTTTGCCATCAGAGAGGGACTTTAACTTCTAAGTAACAAATTTAGCATCACCATTTGTGTTTTCTTTCTTTTAAAGGAACAAGATTTAAGATTAATGTCAGTATGTAAATTATGCAAAAAAACACACAATTATTTCCTTTTTGATTTGTATGAGTTATATCTCCATCCTCCATTCCTCAACTCACTGCATGTGTTTTCACATTAGTGGCACTACTGATACCCTAGTCTGACCACCTTTGAGCATATAAACATTCAAAATACACTGTGGTTGTCTAAATTGTAAGTGCTGATGAATGCTGAAATTCACTCTTCATGATAGAAGAATTAGTATATCCTTAAACATCAATTCCATGTAAATTACTTCATCAGTGTGACACTCTAACATGGCTAGCTAGTGGCAGGGGAAAAAATACCGAAGTGATGCATTCTAATGTTAAGATCTCGTAATTTCAGATTTGTAAGGATCAGGGTCTTCGTGGGGAGTTTTATGCAGCTTAAAAAGGAGAGCATTTCACAGTATTATTTATTTACAACATTCTATGCTGAGCCCTTCAACGCACAGAATAAACAAGAACTGAGGAAAATGCACTCTCCAGATCCAACTTTTACAGTAAAATAAAAAAAAAGCTGCATGGATCTCTCCCTAAAACTAGGGAAGTTTTCTTTCCCTCCCCTTTTGCACCTAAATAAGGCAAAGGGAAAATGTCTTGAAGCTGTTAGACTTCAATTTCAAATATGAGCTGTTATATAGGATATGGGGTTTAGAATTGGTAGCTTTGGTACAAAGAAACTCACTGAGAATTTTCTCTCAGTTTACATGCAATTCTGTCACCACAGTGCAAGAACTTGGCTATGTCCAGCCTGGGCTCTAAGGCAGTTGTAGAACCAGGCCTGTATGCTCCTTCAAGGGACTCATCCAAGCTGTATAGCAACAATGCTATTAGTGCACTTTATTTTAAAGTACATCAACTACTGTTACGCTAAACACATTTTCCCTAAACCATTAATATATTTTGAAAGACATCCTCTCAACTTTTCCTCACTAACGTGTCCAGATTTCTAGAACACCAGCTTTAGGAGTTATACGCTCCCATTAATATTTCACAAGCATCTAACCTGCAACATCATCCCAAGTAGGACGATGATGACGACACAACTATTAAATCCTATCTGGCTGACGTTCACCAACTCAGATACGGGTACAGCAAGAGCCATACCGATGTGATGTTTCAAAGGCTGCTCTATTCTCCCCTGAACAGATCAGAACTTCCTTAGTACCTCCCTGAGAGCAGCAGGCCATTCTTACCGAGCACCCATGCCCTCAGGTGTGCATCATTTCAGAAGGATGCAGGTGAAAACGAGGGAGACTGGGTAAGGAGACAGAAATGAGAGAGGCTCTAAAGCCACACAGCTGAAGGTGAGAACCTACACCGGGATAATGGAAGTCCTGCAATGAAACAGCCTAGATAAACAGAGATTTACCTGCAAAAAATTCAAAATATTAAAAACCCGGGCTTGTGCAGCAGAGGAGCGAGACGAAGGCGATGCTGGAGGCGGCGGAATCCCCAGCCCCCTCCATCACCCCCGGCCCTCGGGAGCCCGGCCCGGAGGACGAAGGCTGACGGCTGCGCGGACGGCGGGACGCCAGGGGCGGGCGGCGGGGCAGGAGGCCGGGGCGGGCCCCACCCGCCCGCCCGGCCTGCGGCGGGCCGGCCCCGTTCCCCCGGCTCCCGCAGGGGAAGGTCTCCGCCGCCCCCCTCTCTCCCCTTCCCGGCGGGTCCCTTCTCCTCGAGGATCGTCATTCCCCTCCCCAAGGCCGCGGGACGATCCCACCCACCCCCCGCGCTGGGAGGTGGGGCCGAGGGGCAGCGAGGCCCCCCGTGGGCCGGCGGGCGCCCGCTCCTTTCCCCGCTCCCGCACTCCCACCGTGCAGCCGGGGAGGGTGGCGGCGGAGCGCGGCGACGAGCGGCTCTGACCTCCTCGCTCTTTAGCACCTCCTTGAACTCCCGCTTGATCCTCTGCACCGCGATGTTGGCCATCTCCGCAGCGGGCACCCACTCGCCGCCACCTCCGAGCCGGGCCCAGCGAGCTCCGCCGCCGCCGCTCCCGCTGGATAACTCCCGGCCCCACCAAAATGGCGGCGGCTGCCGAGCATGCGCGGTACGGCTGCCGGCTCCGCGGCCGCCGCTCAGGCGGGGCCGCCGTGTGCGCGGCGTGGCGGGGGTAGCGGGGCCGTCGACCGCGGGTGGGCGAAGAGCCGCTGTGGGGACGCGGCCTCCCCCCTCCCCAGCCTCCTCCCCGCTGCCCCCGAGGGAAGGCTGCTGCAGCCGCGTGTGGAGGCGCGGCCGTCTCGCCCCGGGGACACCCGCGGTTTGCGGTGTCGCGGGCAGGGCCGCTCCCCTGCGGCGCCTGGCGTGACTGCGCGGGGTAGAGCGTGCGGGCAGAGCCCTGACGGCGCTCCCTGCCGCCGGCTGGCCCCGAGGCGGCTGAGCCGGGATTCAGCGGCCTCCCCGGCCTCGTCACCGCGGGGACGGCGGAGCCCGAGGGCGCGCGGGAGCGCTGAGGGCAGCTGGGCGGGGCCGGGCCGGGCAGCGGCGTTCCCCTGAAGTGCTTCTGAGGGAACATCTGGCTGGCAAGTCACTGGGCAGGTCCTTGGGAACCGGACGACTTCTCTCACGCTTTGAGAATCTGCTCAGTCTGCCTATACAGCAATTCCCAGTTGTTTTGTCGTTCTTCTTGTTCCAAACGCTCGCTTGAGAAAACCGCAGTGCCTGCCCTTCGCACCCAGCCCAGCTCCTCACCCTACTCGCGTGCTCCGATGTGCCAAAGTCTCCTCACACGGCACAGCGCAACTCTGGGCCCGATAGGCCCAGCAGCAGGTAATTGTGGGACACAATGCAAGCAAAGAAATGTCTTTGCACGGATTCTGCTGCAAGATTTTAAAAGTAGAGTGAATGGTGGAAATGTCAGTCCCTTACAATGGGCTGTTATATTGTATTGCAGAACCAGCAGCTGCAAGCCACAGATGCTCTCTGTCTGGGAAGCTGAAATTGGAAACCAGGGATCATCCCGGCTGATCTGAGGTGCGCAGAATATGGTGTGGTACAGAGCAGTGCAGATAGATTTTCTGAGGGGAGCATGAGATTGCATTTACAGCAGTTGCTTATTCAGGAACTAGAGGCCTTTGAGACACTGAAGTCTATAGAAGTGCCTGCTCCTCCTGTGCAGTTGCCGGACAACGTGCAGTAGAGGCATTTTTTCACAAAGCAGCTTGTTTCCATTTCCTTAGAATTGATTGTAGTGGCTTCTGATTGGGGTTGTCTACTTGTGGACTGGCTGTCATGTGCAAGTGCTACCTGTTTGACTCCATTTGCATACACAGCATTTTGGCTGTTATAGCTCCTTTAAAGAAAGTACAAGCCCGACAAATATAAAAGAACAACACTACAGCAAACCCTGTTAGCTATATACGGATGCATATAGTCCTTATACTGTGTGCATTTACTCTTCCCCTGTGATTTGACTGGAAAAACTCCATTTTCCTGCAACAGTATTGTACCATGAGCATCTATTCATGAAATTAGATAATCTTTAAACCTAAGCTTGTATACAATGCAGTTTCTCAAGCTGAGGTTTTCAAACCTTTCTTGAGAAGGATGATTTCACATTAGGCCAGGTTTTATTTTGATAACTTCCAGTGTGATCTTAGGCCTTCATCTAATTTAGACATTAAAGTCACAGATAGATAATGACAGAATGGAAGGGTTGGAAGGGACCTTAAAGATCATTAAGCTCCAACCCACTGTCTTGTGCAGGGTTGCCACATACCAGATCAGGCTGCCCAGGGCTTCATTCAGCCTGTCCTTGGACACCCCTGGGGATGGAGTATATCCTGATCGTGTGTTTGAATTCCTTTTGAGGAGGTAGGCCACAGGTTCTCTGTGCCTTAAGTCCTTACCTGTGAAGCAGGGGTAATAACTGCTTTGCAGAGCTTTAGGATGAAAGCTAGGTTTATTGTGGGCTGAATTCCTATTGAGTGTTACGAACAAAAATGAAAAAGGCAGGACATCTAACCTGCAGGTTGAATGCTTCATGTCTTTCCAGACAGCTCCTAGGGGTAAAAAGTTTCTAATATTCAGATTTTGCTCTGAATAGAGTGAAAAAATAACCTCTATCTAGCGTCAGAATCCTTTGTGAGTGTGCTTGTATGTTATAGATAGTAGACATCCAGTAATGGCCACACTAAAGGGTACTGATTTTGAATGGTTTGTATCTAGAATCGTTTCCATGTGCTCATTTGGGTTATAAATGTCAGAGTCTGCTGCTGCAAGAAGCAAATCTGATTAATATGAATTACTCTTCTCTTTTACTTACCATAACCCACTCTTTTTGATGGTCCTTAGAACAGGCATTTTTCACTTTTCTAATAATTGTTTCATATTCACCGTATATTTCTCCAGCCTTCCATTTTTGTGGTCATTTTTCTCTTCATTTTCTCTTTGGTAAAATATAGCAAATACAAAAAGGCTTTTTTATTTTTTGGAGGTAGAAAGGAGTGGGATCAATTTCTTCACACATTAAAATCCTGCATAACACTCCAGTACCTTATGCAGTCAGCATGCTAGGGTCATCATAGTACACCTCCAATACTGTAGTATTCTATATTTTTACAGAAGATTCCACTGGCTTTTAGGCCATAACAGAAAACGCTTAGAAAAGCACAAAAACATAGCCTATTTACATGATTTCAGTGAATTCTATATCTGACTTCATCATATATTGTATAACATATTGGTAATACAATTCTGTGTATATCCTCTGAATTAAATTCTCATTAGTATTTCACCCTTAGAAAAATCCATACACAAAATACACAAAATATAAAACTGTAGCCCCTTGAACGTAGTCAGCTCTCTGCTTGTATTATGGAAATTTGTTGCACATCTTTCAGGAGATTGCTTTTTTATTAATCCCATCATCATTTTAGCCTTAGAGCAAACAGTTCTTTCATTAACAGCTTTTGCAAACTAGCTCAAAATTATCTATTGGTCTTGATCAGAAATAACAGACTGAGAGGTACATCTCTAAAGATCCATGCATTGAGTATGTTTGGCACAGTGCTTCAAAATACTTCTGGAAGTGGGAGCATGAGATATGGTGTATTAAATGAAGGTGTAGCTACGCAGTATTATTGCAGAAGTTCGTAGGATCAGCGCTTATAAACCAAGGTCAATGATTTAAGGCATCAGCCTAAGCTCTCATTAGGAAAGGGCAGCCAGCATACATTAGCTGATACAAGGATAGCCAAACAGCCTAAACAAATATAGTTTCACAAGTAGCATGGGAAATATTATCTATCCTACAACCTTTATGTCAGAAATGTCCCTACATTTTCATGGAAAAGTTCACGCACAAATGATGTGGGCATGTTGGGCTTACTGCAGACATAGGACAGTCATGGCATACATGGTTCATCTGTCTGAGACTGGATGCCCCTCAAGCCAGTGCGGTGCCTGAGGACTCCAAGTTGCTTACAACAGCACTAAGTATGATTAAATTGCTGTCCTTCGAGTTAAGATTATTGGTGATTTTCTTTTTTTTGTATTTCAATATATTCCATATTTTATTTGGTTCATCTCAGTAGGATATCTTTCTGTTAGAATTATCCAAGAATTCGGAATTTCTGAGGTTGTTCCCTGTGAAAATAATGAAATAATTTCTGAAACGATAACTTTCCAGCATGCAACATTTTTTTTTCTTCTTTTGCTCTGTTATGTCTTGCATAACAAGGCTTCTCCCCACCCAATCGTGGCCTCTTTCTTTTAGAGAAATCAGAAATGTCAAGTTTGGTCTTCTCACATTGCTGCTGGGGGATTTCTTAAGGGAGGAGAGAGCTGTCTCAAGAGATCCATAGTGCCATTTTATAGAATCATAGCATGGTCTGGGTTGAAAAGGACCACAACGATCATCTAATTTCAACCCCCTTGCTATGTGCAGGGTCACCAACCACCAGACCAGGCTGCCCAGAGCCACATCCAGCCTGGCCTCAAATGCCTCCAGGGATGGGGATCCACATTTAGACATTTTAGAAAGAGGGACTGAAACTGTAACATATTTTGTACTCTTACTTTGTCTTCAAGAGGCATCCATCAAAGGATTAACCTCAGTGGTAGTGTTACTATTACATGCAATTAATTTCATATTTAAATGGTCAGATGCTTATTTATGTTATGCTTTATCAAAAAAAAAGTCATCAGCAACTAAAAGTCATCAGCTACAGTCCAGGAGCTGCTTTATTTACCTGTGGATCACTTAGTAGGTTTCAGACGCACAAAAATAAGATTACCGTGCGTGTTTACAGACTGTCATATAGTGTTCCTGTTGTGGCAGCGTCCGGGTGACTCAACTCATTCCGAAGATTAGCGCTATCGTTAAAGTAACTACCGGTCGTACGAGTCGGCCGAGTTCTGGGCTGCAGTCCCAACTTCCCCGTTCCTTCAGCGGTGTCCGTGTGCGGTCCGCGGCCAGGTGAAACAGTGCCCTCTCCCGGGTGCAACAGCGCAGGTTTCCTCGCTCGTGCGAGACGCATCCCTCCGCTGGGGAGCAGTTCGGCACGCAGGGAGCTCGTGGCGTTGCTGCCGACTGCGGCGTTGGCTGCTCCTTTCGTCAAGGTGTTCAGGAAGAACAGTCCGAAGCGCTCAAAGCAGCAGAACGGAAATCGTTCGGCGTTCCCGGTGAAGAGGTGGGGAATTCGGTCACGATTCACCCACTTTACAAGTTGTGTTTTTCAGGTTAGCAGCCTCGGTATATACACTAAAAATACAGTACGTGTACTAATTAAACTTAGGATGTATGTGAAGTCAGTCAGGCTGAAATTGTATGATGCAATTCACTTGACTTAGTGGAGTCAGATGAGAAATGAATTCAGCTGTTGATTTTACAGCCTAGGACTTCAACAGCAAGACTTAGCAAAGTTTCCGTTCAGCAACGCCTGCGCTGAGATTCTGGGTGGTTTAGTAGTAACACTCCATTTTTCTTTGCTTGTTAAGGACTTTCATTATAAACTGATGTTATGGCCTGAACCTTTCATTAATTTGGTGGCCTGGCAATATCTTCCAAATCAATGTTGTATCTGAACCTGATATCTTGGATAGGAAAACATGGAAATAAGCAGCCTCCTATTAAGTCTGTCAGCAAAATTATTATTATTTAATAATACTTCTTTGTGAAGGAGTGGTTTTCAAGTCATGGTATGTACACTGTGGGGCCCAGGGGCTGCTTCCTGTGGGCTTATGAAAGGCACAAAATATAAATAAAAATAATGATAACAAAAAAGCAGATTGGGCTGTGAGAAGCTTGTCATAATTCTGCAGGAGGTCCCAGGTTTCTTAATATTCTCAGTGAGTGGGCATCTGCCTTGAAAAAAATTGGCCTCAGCAGACTGGCAGATTGATCAGAGGGAAATAAAAGCACTTCTTATGAAGAAAAAGTTGTGAAGCTATACTCCTTTCTTCCTATTACAGAAAGAAGACAGCCATCTTTTTGAGAGTCCTTTCAAAATGGAAGCAAGCTGGGAATACAAAATTAGATTTCACGACATATTATTATTAGTCTCATGAGTATTAGAGTTATAGGGGAAGAGAGGATTTGGTAGATAATGAAAAAGATATAGTTACCATGCTCCTTTGCCAGTATATTGTTTTCCACTCACAAACATGTTCTACTCAGACTGAGCTGTTCATACTATTTTAAGCATTTTGCACTACTGTCTAATAATGTAATAATTCATAGTAAATTACCAAATCTATGTAACTTTATTTAATAGAAATTCAGAGTTCCTCCTTTCATAGGTACAAAGGGGACTTAGAGCTGCCTTGAAAAGGTAGCTGGACAGCTTTTCTTGGATAACAGGACATTATCTTCCCTGTCCTTAGGATTTGTGACTGGATAAAATCCCTGCTGTTGTAATGACTACAGAGACTGAAGTCAGATTCAGACTGATGCATATGAAATTTCCGTTTCCTAAATGTCATCAGGGCTGGAGCATATACAACCATGAAGCTAGAAGCTTAGATTTCTTGTTCAGTGCAGTAGTAGCCAAAGAAGTAGCTAATTGCTGTGAGAAAGTGAAAGAAGATTAAAATGGTGCTAGTATTTTGGAACGACTGCTTAGAGGTGGAGTTAGGGTCTCGTTAGAAGAAATTAGTTTAAAATTAGAACTGGAGCAGCAATCGTTGTGAAGCATAAATGGAATGAGTATGAGAATCCAGAATAAATTAAAAAATAAAAGCACTCAGAGTAGAAGTAACTGCAGCCACAACTTAATCACACAACAGCAGTCACTACGTGACTTCTGAAAGTGTAGCTGAGCTGGCTGCCCACAAAGTGGTCCAGCTGACTGTGTGTAGACCAGATTTGGGTCTGCAGGATACTTCTGTCTGGCTTTTCCTTTGAGGAGACAGAAAACACTTATTCAGGGACTGGATGTCACAAGCTGTCCTCTTGCATCACCGCTGCGTCTGCTTGGGAGGAAGGGATATGACTGGACAACTTGCTCTTCATGTCTGTGTCCTGAGACAGCCATCAATGCAGGCTGCAATGAGGGATGTGCAAAATGGGGATCAGGCTCCTACAGGCAGTAGTTATGCATTGCATGTGGCCCCAACTCAAAAAAGCTTTCCAGTTATAAGAGATTATGGATTAACAGTGTATGAACAATCACAGTATAACAACATGTACACTGAAATAAGAAATCTACCAGAGGACATAAAATCACAGAGAGAAAAATTTTCAGTGTATTTTACATTGTCAGTTGTTACGAATCCTTTCAGTGGTCTGTTTTCTAATGGGATCCCCAAAAGTAGGAAAATATTTCTCCTTTTAAGAAAAGAAAAAAAAAAAGAAAGCTAGAGTTGCTGAATTCAGCTAGTATTGCTTGATCTAGCAATTTTGGGATGCTGGGGCTTTTTGAAGATTCCAACTAGAATCTGAAGATCTGATAGCCATCTTGCTAAACTGCAGTATAATCTGTCATGATGGGCACCAGATCCACAGCTGATACAAGTCTTTTGGAACTGTCTAGAACAAAAATTTACAAATTAGTGAAGTTTGTCAGAGGTCATCCCAATAGAGCTTATCCATGACAGATGGGTAATTTATCAAGTTGTACTGCTGTTGATACCATCCTAAAATATCTGCATTCTGGAGGCTACGACAACTTTGTAATAGGAAAATAAACTTTTCTATTGGTCTTACTATGGTTGAATACTAATTTAACTAAATCATCAAGTCTGAATCACTGCTCACTGTTTAGACCACAGTCATGTAAAATGTTAATTGTGCTGCATTTGAAGTCATATAAACCAGTAGCTACCAATTGAAGAAGATAACAAAGATAAACTGATTTTGTTGTTTTCCTAATTTAATTGTCTCCAGTCTGGCCATGTGAATAGCAAGCACAGAGGATGTGATGAGGAAGAAATTGAGGATAAATTCAAGTTGAACAATCAAAGCACAAATAGCATACACTTCATGTATCAAGTAATGTACGGTTTCTCTGAATGCAGCAGAAGTTAGCAATTTCTCATCTTTATGTGTCTGTCAAGCACGTAATATTTCATGGAACAGTATCTAGAAGATCCCTACTGCTCTATGTGCCTGTGTTTTCAGTAGTAGCATTTTCCTTTGCTTTGGCAGAAGATTCATTTTGGGTACAAGGAGCTTGTCTTGAACATTTTTCTCAAATGAGAGGTAGCAATTATAGCAGTTTCTGTGAGGTATAACCCATCTCATAAAATTTCCTGTTACAGCTTTCCCATCTGCCTGACAGAGTGCAAAAAGATCACGTGGTAAATTGGAAATTGGCACCTTTTAAAAGGCAGTATTCTAGACTGTATTTTTCTTTCCCCAATTAGAGGTTAGTCATGCTGGGAGAAATTCAGTCATGCTGTATGATTGTCTTTCAGGATTTTGCAGCTTCTAAATCCTAGTCCTAGGAATGCAGTTGTGTTACACTGTTGGTTCCTTCCTTATTCGTACACCAGACATAAAATCTATAACACCAAATGATGTAGTTATATAGCATCTCCCTGCATATACATTTCTGGGTGTCTTGAAGGATGTCCTTTATTTTCATTTCACTCAATTTCCTCCCATTGAAAACGTAGTGAAAGTGCTCTCACAGAGTCATCTAGTTCAATCCAAGTGAAGTGCTCAAAAGAATCAGCGAAAGCACTGACCAGGACCATGCCTGGTTGAGTTTCTAATTATCTCTAAGGACAGAGATGCCGCAACTTTTCTGGGGAACCAGTTCCAGCATTCAAACAACGACGCAAAGCAATGTTTTCTTATGTTCAGCTGGAATTTCATGCACTTCAGTTTGTGCCCGTATCTCCTGCCCCGACACTGGGTGCCACTAAGAGTCTAGCTCCCTCAGTTGTCTCTGGCACCAACTTCAAATTCTTTTCACCCTTTTTCAATAAATACCTCCATTTTTAGAGGCAACATCTGTTTCCAATTTAAACCTCAGTTGCTTAACACAAAGGTAACCACAAAACCCTACTTCAGCACTGGAAATGTAAATTTGTACTCTGAACATGGAAGCATTAATTTCTTACAGCATTTTTGCAAGATTTGCAGTGTGAAGCATGAGCTGAATACTACAGAATTCTTTTTTTTTTTTTCTTTTTTCCCCAACTGGTACTCTTATCAGCTCTATATAAATCCTAATTTTCTTTCTTACACCAAACTACTAGGGTTTACAGCTGCTCTTTAACAGGTTTGGCATATCTTACTGCAGCAAGAATCCAGCTGTGCCATACCACATCCTCAGACAAATGTGCACAAGCTAAGGCTATCCAAACAGAAATGTGCACAAGCTGAAACCATCACATTAAGTTCACATGGAGCTTGGCAAGCTGAGACAAGAGTTATTCCTAAATTTTTTTTTTCGATTCTCATCTTCTAAAATTCAAGATGAAAACCGTGGTTGAAAGCACTACAGAAACCAGAGTATCACCATGATAACAGATCAGATTCTCTTCCAACAATTTGATTTAGTTCTCTGTAGTCTATATACAGATGCTGCCATCTTTTTAATGACTGGCATGAGTTATGCCTTTTGACACACTTTCTCAGTCATATGTGATGTCTTCCCTTTTTTTATCTCTCTTTGTTCTTACTAAATAATGCCTTTTTTTTTTTTTAATGAGCTGTTATTCTTAAATTTCAACTGTGTACTGAGTAATCACATATTTTAATTAGCAATTACAAAAGTAGTTATATTCCTGTCAGATCAGAATAATTCCCAAATCCTGACCAGAAAAGTTTGATTCCCTGGTGCATATTAGATAAAGTAAAGTGTTCAGAATATCCTTTGGGGTCCTATTTTCATTTCCTTCTCTAACACATTCTTGTACACATACATTCATTATAGCAACGGGCTTGAACTTTGTGCCCATGGTTGGTGTATTAGATATATCTTCTGTCGGATGTTCACTTGGAAAATGAACAGGAAGTCATTTTCATTTCAAGTCCAGAAGTACTGTAACAGTTGAAGGCTCTGACTCAAATTCAGAGGCATATTCAGATAGAACAGTAAAATGGCTCTGAACACAGAATGGGACACAGTATGTGTCTTTCCCAAGTGGCAGCAGTTTTCAGATGAATGTAGCAGTGATAGCTGCTGGTAAGTTTATGGCTGCAGATAGTTTATGGCTGTGAACTACAGTGACTCAAGAAGCAGTTCATACTGCTTTTTGTGTTTTCTTTGCAAGAAAGCCACCACAATTGTGCAGCTGCTATTATGGTTTCTGCTCCAGAGGAAAAACAATTTGTTAAGGTTTTACTAGTGTTGGTCCACTTAGACCGCATTTTTAGAGGGGATTTCCCAAAGTATTTGCAAATTATGTTGCTACCAGAGATTGCACAATAGTCAAACACAATGAAATTCAGCAGACCTTTGTCTTATTAATTTGTGTGATTACTTAGGATGTACTGGTTTTATTCCACAGATCCAGTTTTTGGCCTAATTCAAATGACTTTATCAGTCAGTGTTGTCATTAACAATTCAGTGGTTCAGACATTAATCTTCTATTTTTAGATATTTTCTTTCAGCCTAATCCTGTTAACATTCCAATTGATCTCCTTTCATTTCATAGTTACTGTAAGATACTAGTCAATATTCTAGTTAAACATAAAATAATCCTTATCCCCTCCATTTCAGAGTTCATTCCTCCATTTCCTGGTTTGGAAAACATCACTGGCCAGCTACGATCTGGCAGCATTATAGCAATCCTTTGTGATCATTTCCCCTGACTGATGGCTGGTATCTAAAAGTCTGTGTTGGTGAGTTGATGCTTCAAGAGCACAAAAGCCCTCCTCTGGCAGCTTCAGTAGAATTCCTACTTTTGACAAAGCCATATTTTTCCCGTAAGCCCTGACAGCTTAGGTTATGGTCAGATGTTCATTAAGCTTGTATCTGCACAGTAAGAAAATCTAGCAGCATAACTTTGGTTCACTTGTGATGAAATGACTACATTTCTCTTACATTAACCTGGGCACACAATACAAGCTTTGTATCAGCTAATTTGCAGGCTTGCTGCCTAATATCCCAGAGTACTTTGTAATTGTCCAGTGTGCTGTGAGATGCCATCCCAGCTAGGAATGTCTGTGAGCAACTTTTCTGAGGATTCGTCTTCCTTTTCCAAAATTAGATGCCTCTTTCTAATTTAAAGTATTTCTAAAAAGAGGCATTGCTGCCAAAAGGCAACTCATACCTTGATACTACCACAAGGGAAAAAGACTTTATAGTCTTTTTCTTTCCACTTACTGGATGCCATTTTCAGGCCATGATACGGATGAGTTCCAAGTAGCTCTTCAGCATCAAAATTTGCAGTTGAATTTCTTGCAGATTCCTTCTGGGAACAGCATTATGTGGACTGCTTAAAGGAAAAGAGAAAGCAGACAGAAAAGTTAAGAGGACTTGCCCAATTTTCTAGGTCATTTTTCAGATCCTGTATGAATTGCAGCTGAAGAATTTCCATTCCACAGGGTATCTGGGTGGGAGCGATACAATGCCTAGCGGCACAAGTCAGGCAGCAAAGATGAGAAGAACATCAGCAGGAGTGCTTCACAATGGGAAAGGTAATGCTTTGGATATCTGTAACAAATTCATTCACTGTTTGTCAAGTTAGCTCACCAGCATGAATCCTGCTTTTCCACTGCTTATTAGGGTTAAACAGCAGAAAGCTAGCCCTGTGATTTGGAATGCAGCCTGAGGCTTCACAGAGGGCCCAATCCATTCTACCTTCAGTCAACAGATCTAGAGAATGACATACTGAGTTTTGCTCAACTCTTACCCTCCTCTATTGTACAGGGTTATTGGTGGAAGGAACATTGCCATCTTCTGCCCTTCAATCAGAGTCGTCTTTGTATTCTTGCTTGGCAGTGGGCAGTTATTTCTACTGTGCTAAATTCAATGGATTTACAATTTTGTTGTTGTTACTAGCCGATCTTGAATGCACCTCATGCCTTTCTTCATAAAGTCATTACTGGTAGCCTAAATCATCACTGTTTTCATTGTAGTTTTCCTGCCAGGAAGGACACTTCACAGAGTGAGTCTGAACACAGCCTCCCTATCAGAATCTCGTTTTATTGCTGTGTCGTGCACTAAATTTCTGAGTGTGAGGGGGAGCAGATGGCTGAAACCTGGGAGTGGGAAGCTGAGATAGAATCACTGCCTGCTATGGCTTGTTCATTTGCCCGTGGGAACCAGGAGGGCCAAATTCAGAGGGATGCACTGAGGGATGCTGACAGAATGTTTTATGTAGAATACTTAGCTGCTTTCTGCCTACAAATAGTATACATGTACTTGTTGATTTGAAAGAAATAACCTTATGCATTGTTTCTCTTGCTCCTGGTCTGTACTTTATGTAGCTCCTATTGCCTGCTCCTCTTCCTTGGCAGTTCATACTCAGATGTTTCATTACCTGAAAATCACTCTCCAACAATCCATCCCTTATTAGGTTCACTAGCTTACCATCTTTTCAAGAATGCCAATGGAAACATGTGTTAAACAAAGAAAAATAATCAGATTTTGTTGTCAAAAAGGCAGTGCAAATAGTACAGAATGCAATACTGAAAAAGGCTAGCTTTTTACTGGGACCAGTTATGTAAAACTATTTACAGATATGTAGAGCTTTGCAGTGGTAATGTGAGGGGGAGAAAAATGGAGCAGGGAGGGGTGTGAGCATTTGTATCCCACCTAGAATGCTGCCTGGCTGGAATGCTGCATGCATGCCTTATCAAGAGACGATTTCAAGAGATTACAATGTGATACGTGTTCCTGGATGGGATGGTGTGAGAAATGAGCCCGAAAGATGCAAAGCACAGAGTTTGAAGGAAGCTGCATTTGGTTCAAAGCAGTAGAGGAAGTCATCTCACATGTAGCTCTAAATGCCATCATTCCATAGTGTTTTCTTGCAGTTTGCTCAGTCTCCATCTCCATCAGTTGCTGCCTCTCCTTTGCAGCACCTTTGCAAGTTCATGCTATTACAGACAAGGCACTTGAGCCATCTAGTTTATCCCTTCCCATTTTACGACTGTACAAGTTTGCCATGGATCAGTCACTACGAGACTCTCTTCCTAATTCTACCAGTTCCCCTAACTGTGCTTTCCATCCATTTAGCAACGACAGTTTAGCTTTACTCACAAGCAAGAAAATAGAAGTATTAAGCATTTCTGCTTCAGCTTGACAATAGGAACCTTTCTCTCCACTACTTATGATTTGCCATTGCTCTGTTGTTGAGCCAGGACTAATATGGTAAGCTGTGTCTGGTTTGGGGATTTCAGGTCTCAGCTCCATTTTCTAGAGCATTGACTGGCTCTAGGTGTTAGATTGGAGGGGCATACAGGTAGGCAAGGCTCTTAATGGTGTTGGGAAATTGTGTCTGCTTGCTTCTGGGATGGCTCATTCCTGAGATTTTTTTCTGTGGTGGCCTAACCTTGTGTCTGTGCCTCTGTTCACTTGCAGTATTGCAAGGTCTACAAGGGCCAGACCTGCAATGGGCATGGGCACCTGGGCTGTGTGTTAGGGATGTGGCTTTGCACACCAAGGATTGCTGGTAGTGCAAAACTGCCAGCTGGTGCTGTGCCTGATGCTAGAAATAGTGATGTGGGCTTGGCACACAGTGCTAGGAAAAAGTGCTCAGAAGAAAATAAACGGCATCCCCATTGCAGTGAAAGAAGGCTTGAGCTCCTCGTGAGAGCACAGAACCGTGATGAGCAAAGGCTGTCCTCCCGTGTGAGCCCTGTCAGATTGCAGGTGGTTTTTGTGCTATGGGGAGTTACGGAGCTGGGAGAAATTGCAGCCTCTATCCAGCCCTCCTTTCTCATTGCAGTTGCAACTTGATCCATGTTGGCCCGAGGCAAGTAATCTGCCCTGGATTACAAGATTTCCTTCCCTATGGATTACAAGATTTCCTTCCCTATGAGATCCCTGCTGCGTTATGGAATGGTATCGCTGTCCCCAGGGCAAGACTTGCTGCTGACCTTCGCACGGCAGCACGGCATTGCCGCTCTACGGCTGCATGAGGGTGCCCGACTGGCTGACGTTGGAAACCACCGTCTCAAGTTCTCCCTTTTGCGTTCCACAGCTTCTAAAGACGTTATTTTAAGGGAATGGCTGCAGAGAAGCCTTCTGAATCATGAGCATCCAAACAAGCTTTGAGCGACGAACTGCATCACAAATTCCCTCATTCTTCAGGGAGGTGAAAAGCACACCAGAAGCTGCACCGCTTCCGACCAAGCGAGCAGCCGGGGGGGGGGGGGGGCGGGGGCCGGCGGGCCCGGGGGGGGGGGGGGGGGGGGGAGGGAGCCGGGAGCAGCTCGGCACCGCCCCGGCCGTCCGCCGCCGCCGGGAGCCGGCAGATCCGGGTCTCGTGGCGGCTGACGTGTGAGCCGGCCCCAAGCAGCGGGGCCGAGCCGCGGGGCCGCCTCAGCGAGTCCGCCCGCCCCGTCCGCGCAGCGCCCCGCGGCCCTCTCTCCCTCCGCAGCCCCGCGACGGCGGCCGGAGCACGGTGAGCGGGGAGGGGGGCGCCGCGGCAGCGGGGGGAGAGGGAGGGCCGCTGCCGGGCACGGCCGGGCGGGTCTCCGCGGACAGCCCGCTTCCCGGCCGTCCTTCCGTCCTGCAGGCGCGGAGCGGCCTGAGCCGCGGCCCGAGCGGCCCCAGTTGCCCCGAGGCCGGTGGAGTCCGAGACCACTCAGCTGCCGGGCGCCTCGCCGGGTATCGGCCCGCCGAACGGCCGGCGCTCGCCCTTCGCGGGCGTTCGGCTGCGTGTCTGGTAGGGTTCGCTCGGCTGTTTTCGGTTGTTGGGGTTGTCAGCGCGAAGTCGCACGCTCGTGGCTTTTTGGAGGATCTCAGAGTCAACCGAAGGTTCTGTTTTTCTGTCCGTAGAGGAGCTGGGAGTGACACGCTGACGGGATATGCGCTTCCCTTGCCGAGAAGCAGGCTGAGGGGAGAAAGCGGACGGCGTCCTGTAAAACAGAGCCTCCAAATGACAGCGTCGCGCTGCCGTTAGCTTCCTACGGGCAGGGTTCCGGGCGGGAGCCCTCGCCCGTGTGCCTCCGGGGTCGGTTGGTAGCGGGTTGCGGCGGGGCAGAGCGTTGCTGGCCTGGGCGCCCCGGGGAGCGCCGCGGCAGTTTCTCCCTGGCTGTCCCAGCGCCGCTGCCGGCTGTCCTGCCCAGGCTCAGCCTCTGCCCTCCCCGAGAGCTCGGACCTCGGCGTGTGACCTGCCCCGGGATCGGCAAACACCTGTTCTCCTGGCCCGCGGTCAGGACTGCCTTTAGGCTGTATGCTTAGTGGTGTAGGCAGTGTTTGCATTATGCGCTGGTAAACATCCTTGTCTTGAGAAGTCATGAAAACTCATTGTGGTTTTTTAGCATAAGGACATCCAACTTTTAAAATAACGCATTATGTTAATGTTAACGTGCCCACTGGGCAAGTTGCCTATCTGCAATGAGCTCAATGGGTCACTTGTAAGAAGTCTTTCATGCTCAGCTCTTACAGTTCTGTTGACCTTTACTTGCTTCTGTTACTTTCAAAAGCAGACATCAGAAAGAAAATCTTTAGTCTCATTTTGATTTTTTTTTTTTAGCTGATTTCTTCCTGTCTGTAGCAACAGAGAATAATGTCCCTGATAGTTCTATCTCATTCTTCGTATCCTTATGACCTGTCCAGATGAGAGAAATCAAACTATTGTTGTTACTGATTTTTATTTTTATTTTTTTCTTAAGAAGTGACTCTGTCATTGGCAGTGTAGCTCAAAACAATAGGAGCAGCTGGCAGAAAATAGTGGCTGTAACGGTTGGCAGCACAGCAGTCACTTCAGTCCTTCTCATGCCACTGGGATAGGCAAATCTGAGCTCTGTTTGGCTCTGTTGCCCCTTTCTTTAAAATGTGAGATTGGCTTTTCTTGCCTAACCCCAGCATAGCACAGAGTTCTGTGTTTTAATTGGTTTAAGATCATTTTGCATAAGACACAATACTAGTGTGAGGGCTTGGTGGATGTGCTGTTGGCTCTCTTGCAGATTATTGGGCCACATGCATCTCTGACAAGCAGGAAAGACCCTGATGTGCTCAGGGCCATAAGCAAAAAGGGTCCATTTCCAAACTGAGATTGTAGCAGGAGCCTTTCTATTGTCCTGGTTGGAACATTTTTTAGCCTAGCTGGCTACAAAAATAAATATTATGAATATGGTTCTAGGGGATTTTGTATGTTGTTGTTGTGGCACTTTCGCAGCACGTTACTGAAGTCACGCATTTAGTCTGTTAAATCCCAAGTGCATGACGCAGTTATTTTGTGCTGCATTCTGCAGTCTACATTCTTCCTTCTTTCTAAAAGAAGTTAAGAAAAATGTATTTTTCATTAGAGAAGTCATCTACAGAATGCAATTTAAAAGTACATGATAGTTTTAATTCCTCTGTAACTGTCCAATCTGCTTTCAAAAGTTTAATATTTGGGTTTAGAGAAAGTTGGTTTCAAACTGACTTCTTGTTTCGTTATTAACCTCTCATTTTCTGCTTTCATATATTTAGACTTTAGAATTAGTGATGTGTGAATGTTATTTGCATAACAGATGTGTAATAAAACAAAGTCTGTTTTATGTTTCAGGATTTTCCCTCCAGATATTTTAGGTTCTTGACACACACTCTTAAAGGCCAAATTTTGTCTCAGTTGACTTCATCATAGCAGAGTCTTTGCAGAAATTCAGGCCAGTGTAGTGGAAGTAGCAAAATCTTTCTGTTCTCTATAAGCATGTATGAATGGAGGTGTCTGGTGCTCTGATAACACCAGGGATGAGATCCTTATGCTGTATGTTTTGAACATTTATCAGGTTTCTTTTCACAACAGATGTAGAAATATTTTGGCAGATGCACTTGTGCGTAGACAAATTGATGTCATCTGCCCATATTCTGCTTGGGAAGCAAATTAGAGAGCCTGCTTTGCATACTCTTCTACACTATCACGCTTGATGTTAAGCATTCTTTCTGTTCTTACTTCCTAGATTTGATTTATTAATACATGAAGACCCTATCTGGTCACTGATGAAGCATCTGCAAGATGCTGAGGAGTGCTTCTTGGAAGATCCAAGTGTTCCTAAATCCCCTCTGAGTGCAGTGGAAGCTGAGAGAACTTTTTAAGGTTATATACTGCACAGCCAAATCTTGCACTCCTTGTTCAGTTTGAAAACAAACCACAAAACAGAAGAAAGAACAGTTTTCCCAGAATAGCTCCTTCAGCTTACAGGCTTTGACTCACCGACAGCTAGCTTCCCAAGTTCCAAGGAACCTTAATTGAAGAAAGACTCAACTCCTTGTTATGTAGGAATATAAGCATGTATATGAGGAGGATCAGGCTGTGTTAGTCTTCTTTCTGCCAGACCTTGGCAGCGGTACAGTGGATGTTCATAGCCCTCTTTGCATCCCAGCACCTATCTCATGGCATTGGCATGGGCAAGAAGAAGCTCCTTAGCAGTGATTGATTCAGCTTTTTATGAGAGATCTGAAGATGTTCAGGAAGCAGCCCCTGGCGTGATTGAATGGTTGTACATTTGCATGGTTGTTAGTTGAACAAACTCGCTTTGGAGGCTTTAGTTACATTGTCTAGCTGGTATTTTTAGAGATAATAGAACAAATTAGTCCCATTTGGGTGGGAAAAGATAGAGTTACACTTGATAAAAGTTTTCCTCATTAAGATTAATTCTTCGGCAGCTCTGCATGCGTTAAAACCCATGGTTTTCTAGTGCTAAATATAGTTTAATTCTTACTTTACACAGCTGATAGACCAATGTCATATCCAAAGCACTAAGCTGTCCTAGGGAAGAAATGATTTTATCAAAAGAAACTGAAGCACTGTACAAAAATGTAATCCCAGCCTTTAGTATGAGAGAAGCAGTTGCAATGTTTGGTTTGTCAAATCGTTGTCAATACAGTAACAGAGTTTTGGTCTTCTTTTGTTCATTGGTATATCTTCATGTATGTCTTGCTGTTTAATCATATTTTTGGTAAGACATTATTTTTAAAGAACTTGATAAGGTACTCTGTCAGTTTTCATATGTAAAAAGTTGGTAAAAGGAAAAAAAAAAAAACAACTTTGAATAGAATTACATGAAGATGTGAAGAAAAGTTTGGTGTCAGCTCTTCAAACAGTTGGTAACCATTTGTGGAACAAAGCTTCCCAGTGTGAGTTGCATGGCTTCAATGAGAACGCTTCTGCCAGTGGTTGCAGCATGGTTAGGGGCTCACCACCTTCGTATTCCTTTATATAGACATCTTCTGGGACACAGGAGTCACTGGATGCTTCACTTTCAAGTTTGTATTTAGAGCAGTTGTGTCCAAAGATTGAAAAATATCTTCTTTCCTGGGGGAAAACATTGGAGACAAAGATGCTATGATTTTATGGTTGTGATACGTTTTTCAAAGCAACTAATTGCAATCTTGTCAATAGTGCCATGGATTTTCCTTATGCAATTTAACAGATTTTAAAATCTGTTCCTTGTAGGTGCTGGGTAGACATGTATCATTTGCATAGCACTTTCCTTTTGATGATGTAGATTGGGCAGTGAGTCTGCTGAATGGGTATTAAATGGGTTTGGGATTAAAAATTGGGTCTTCTGTTTGCTAAACATACGTAAATAACAAAGCCCAGAAATCCTGTTTATTGTTACAGCTTCCTTCTGGTATAAGTGCTCATTAAAAGGCTCTATTTTATGAGCTCAAACCGTTTGCTTCAGGTATGTAGAAAACCTGATTCAACTTCTGTGTAAGGCAAAGACAGGCATCCGCCAGCTTCAGATAAAATTTGATCTGGCCTAGAGGGGTTGGGAGCAGGGCTGCCAGGGAATAGAGCTGCTTTCATCTGAAAATTGAAAATCCTGCTATCTTTCTCAGCATGCTGCTACCCTGCTAAATCTGTTTTCTCAGTGGCAAGTTATTAGGAACATATGTCATCTCTGGAGAAAAAACATAATGAAAATATTCCGGAGAATTTCAGTATGATTTTTGTGTTTGTGTGGGATAGGAGTGATGTTAAGGTACAGTGCATTTCTACAGTTCTAAGGAGTTAGTAAGGCATTTCATAATCTAAATAATTACGCTCTTAAGAAGCAAGTCTCAAAAAAACTTAATCACTTATGCTTTAGGGCTGCACTTTCTGCCTCGGTACAGAGGAAGTACTGTCATTTTTATTTGTTTTTATTACATTTTTGTAAAGG